GTCATTTGCAAAATTTCTGATATAATAGCATATTAAACAACAAGAACGGTAGGAACATTTTACCGATCGAAGACAACAATTGTTTGTTTTCTCTGAGACCGGTAAAGCTTTGGTTTCCTAAAAAGCGGTACCGTAATATTACGGCCGTAATATGACGGTGAATGACGTCATAAAAAACGGTGTAATGTTTTTGAATTGATACGGTTTTTAAGAATTTGAGTGTAACAAAAGATGGGTATATATTAGAGACTACTACATCAGACGAAGGGGAAAACCAGGCACAGGTTCCAGTAGTGAAGCGGAAAAAAAACGATGCGTTTTGCTATCATTTTTGGATAGTTGTCCTTCAACAAAAAGAAGGTTTTCAAAAAAACATTTTGTGCTAAAATATTGACACGTGTTTTTTGATTTTTTAGCACTATTACTAATATTGTGGATCATGCAAGTCCTTCAGAATTGATTGACGCTAATGAAGGTGAAAAAAGTTCAATACAAAGTGAATATATAGAAAACATTCCTACACCCCAAGATACCTCTGTAATAAGAGATGGAGAAAACGAGCAACTTCAAGACAATGTACAAGTAAGTATTGATGAATTAAAAAAAAACATTGGTAAAGATGGGATATATTTAAATAGTTAAAGAAGAGGTTTTTTATATTTTTATACATTTCTATTTTCCAGCCACCTATTAAAGTTGTAAGATCTAAGAAAAGGAAGACATCGACACACGCAGAGGAAAGGTTGCAGTTGCTAAAAAACATAGCACAGCGCCATACTGTAGAGACAGACGAAAATGATCATTTTTTTGCCTTAATGGCAAAAATTGCCACAATTTGAACAGGCACAAATTCGGATGAAAGTGAGCAACCTTGTGAGCAATGCAGAAATGAGTTACTATCAGAATAATTCAGAATTTGTTCCATTGTCGCCAAATAATAATTTTGTATTAGAAGATACATCTTTTGTTGACGTTGTTAAAAATTTCACGCAGTTGTAATTATTTTAATTTTAAATATATAAATACTTTAAGTCATTATAACAATCAAAGTAAGAAATATTTTTTTGCCTTTACCTATTGTTCTTATGCTTTTATGAATACGTACCTTAAAAATAAGCAAAGCTTTTCTTCAGCCGATATCGGCTTTAGGTTTCTGTTGCACGGGTTAGTCTTGATATCATCCTCTATAAAATTTAGTACATATCTAAATAACGATGGAGTTAAACGGAAGTACTCTTTAAATTTTGTCTCATTAGTAAATAAGTGGCGACAAATTAGTATGTTATATGCGCCTTCTTGCGACCGATTTTGAAATATGTCTGAAACAGAACTTCGTTCTTCTTCTGACGAGTCTTCCTCATCTGCTAAATATATTAATAGTGCCAACTCAAGATCATCCATGTTATTTTTCGGGGTAGGTACCAATTGACACGACCGACAGTTTAAGTTTTGACAAACTGATTATAATAATAATTAATGACAAAGCCAAGACGGCCGCTATATAGCGGTGGTGTTTTTTTACAACGCACTGTTCACCGTCAACGTTACCGTCTTCGTCAACGCTATGTGACGTCATTCACCGTCATATTACGGCCGTAATATTACGGTACCGCTCTTTAGGAAACCAAAGCTTAAGTCCTTAACGGTTCGTGATGCTTATGACATTTTTTGCACGATTGATTTTTCTTAGTTTTTTTTAATTAAATATCTGAAAAATGCTCTAGAACGCCAAAATACTTTTGCGACGACTTTGAATACTTATCAACGAGTTTGTCGTTAGCAACAATAGATAAAATACTCACCGACGAGTTTGGGATAGCAACGACTGATAAAACTTACTGTCTTCGAAACAGACGTAGTAATAGTATATTTACCATCAAGAACGGTAAGGAAATTTTACCGTCTGAGATCGGTAAGTTCTTAACGTTCGTGACGCTTATCACTAAGGCTCGGATTATACAGGGTGAATATAAAGTATGGAACCAAGCGGTTTTATTTTTAATCATTTGCCTCCAAAAAATAATAATTAATATAAATTAAAGTAATATTAAAAATGTGATCGTATTTTCAGAACGAAATTTTGTTTTGTTTTTGAGTTATGCGATTTTTTTTGTCAAAATTGCAATTTATGTAAAAAAATTTTTTTTAATTAAATATAAAGCAGATAGTTGTAATCCTTAGAGTATAGCTTTTATGAGAAAAATGCTTCTATAGTGGGTTGCCATTTAAAAAAATATTTTTTTTTGTATAACTCAAAAACAAAAGGAAATTTCGAAAAATTTTATTCTTGTTAAATCATTACATTTTTATAGTACTTTATCAGTCATCAATTAGTTTTTTCAAAAAATAAATAGTTTAAGGAAAAAACGTTTGGTTCCATACTTTTTATTCACCTGGTATGCAAAATGCATATTTGTTATTAAGAGGTATATCAACAAAATTGTAAGTTTTCTATGCATATCTAATGTTTTTTAATTAAAATAAGCCAAATAAAAAATGCGTATTTTGCATATTTGGGCAACTTGGTGCATATTTTAGGAAATATTGCATATTTGTGCATATTTCCTTCAAATTAAAAATTTCAGTTCAAGTTAAAAATGGACAGTTTATGAAAAATTCAAAAAAAAAAAAAGATTTCAAAATATTTTAAAGAGAAAACAACCGGTAATTCGTAAGCCAAACTCAAAAAATTAGTACCCTGCTGAGTGTTTCCTTTTTAAGTTTGTATTAAACAAAGTGTTTTTTTTAAATCATTTGTTTCCAAAAAATAATAATTAAAATAAATTAAAGTAATATAAAAAATGATCTTATTTTAAGAACAAAATTTTGTTTTGTTTTTGAGTTATTCGATTTTTGTTGTCTAAATTGCAATATATGTAAAAANTAAATTAAAGTAATATAAAAAATGATCTTATTTTAAGAACAAAATTTTGTTTTGTTTTTGAGTTATTCGATTTTTGTTATCTAAATTGCGATGCGTAAAAAAATAATTTAATACAAAGTAGATAGTTGATCCCTTAGATCATGACCTTCATGAAAAAAGTTTTTTTTGGTGGGTTGCCATTTAAAAAAATAATATTTTTGTAAAACTCAAAAACAAAATAACAAAAATTTCGAAAAATTTTATTTTTGATAAAACATTACATTTTTATAGAACTTTATAATTCAGTTTTTTCAAAAAATAAATACATTTGACTTTTTATTGTTCAAAATTTTGCATATTGTTGCATATTTGGCATATACTGGAGCATATTTCTTAAGATTTTGTGCATATTTTTGTGAAATTACGTGCATATATATGTGCATATTTTACGATTTTATCGTGCATATAATCCGAGCCTTACTTATCACATTTTGTACTCGATTGATTTTTGTTGTTTTTTTTATAAAATATTTAATGTTCTGTTTTTGAATGCTTACCTACTTAGCAGCAATAAACAAAATACTTATAGACGAGTTTGGGATAGCAACGAGTAAATACAACTTACTGTCTTGGAAACAGACTTGGTAAACAATCAAATAGAACTCAATCGCGCAAAAACAATCGAATAGAGTCTAATCCTGCACAAAAGATATTTTTTTAGTGACAGTTACGCAGGGCCGTAACCATGATTTTATTTCGGGGCGGGTTTCTTGTTGGTCCATGAAAATGAAATGAAAGAAGGCGGATTAAAAAGCAAAAATCTCTAAGTACACGTTTTTATTTTAAATTGAAATAAGAGATCTTAATTAAACATAAAAAGATACAAATTAACTCACAAAAGTAACAAAAAATAAAATAAATTTTTAATACTTTTTATTGTTACAAATTTAAACAGGAGATAGAATATTCATTTTTAAAACAAAAATTTTCTATGAACATATATCGAAAAATGCTACGCAAGGGGTGCGTCTCTTAATAGGTTTTTTCAAGATTTAAGAAATGATATTAGAAAAAAATTTCAAAATTTGGTACAGATGATAACTTTTATACACTTAAACAAGTACAAAAATAAAATGTTGAAATTTTTAATTAGGGGCTTCCTAAACTAGATGGGATTAGGGTAAACATGTACTCTAACTATTGTGCCTGTGGTTTCTTGCCACTTTCAGTAACAAAATTTCATATTTTTTCTTAAAAAAAGGTGTTTTGTGTTTTTCCGATACAATTTACGGATTTTTAGTAAAAATTGGTTTAAAAATTTATGTTAAAGACCATAAACAGCATAACAATTAAAAATTAAATTTGTTTTACCGTTTAGGACGCCCCTGATTAAAAATTTTGTTATTTGGCATTTGTTTAGGTGTACATATAAAGGTACCAAATTTTGTATTTATCTATTCTGAAATATTAAGAAAAACCCTTTAAAAAATGTACCTTTTTTAGGGGGTGTAGCTCCCTTTCATAGCATTTTTCGAAACACTTTTGTCTTAAAATTAAATATTCTATCAACTATTTAAATTTGTACCTAACAATAACAATGAAACACTGTATACTTAACACATGAAAAATTAATTCACAAAAATTTAAAATTAACTCACTAAAATAACAAAAAAAATAAATTTTTAACACTTATAACACTATATGTATAACAAAGTGCTCAGCATT